ACAACCGTGGACATAGCACGGATCACCACCAAAAGATCGTGGACATTGGCTACGTAATTCAATGTCCCCTTTCCAGAGGCGCTGAAACCAGCTCAATCGTCTATCGCAGCTAAATCGCGGGCATGCATGACCGCTCTCAGGATCCTCTCTGGTGCAAGTATGTTATCCCTTCCACCATGAGCCGGGACGGCCGGTCGGCCGCTCTCATCAGCTCTCATTCTTCTCTCTGGTCTGGTACAGTAGTGAGCATGGTGCTTTCTTTCCATCATAGTAGTGAGTAGTTCTCGTGATCGCGAGGTTTAACATCGGGGAAAAGGTGAAGGAAAAAACATTCAGTTAAATAGACGATTGTTTTAGGCCAATTTAGGCTATTCTTTTTCCTAGTATTCAACGGCAGAGTAAGTATATTTGGTACAATTACGTGACAAAATTAAAGGGATTATCAATCTCCGATGAGAAACTGGCTGGTTGTAACGCTGGTATTCATAATCCGATTTTGTTTAAGATTGAGTACGATCTCAGGACGATTTACGATCATTGGATTCTTCCAGAAAACGGCATGTGCAAAATGTGTGTACAAATATATTTAAACTGCATCTAAATTGTGTCTCGTCTCAAGAATCTTTGAGCATCTCATGCCCTTAATTTTGGACATGCTGCCTGGATTAAGATTCTCCATGATCATACTTTAGATAGTCTCGAATACACAAGATCGGATCTGAATATCACCTTTAAGATCTCCTTTAATCTCGTTGCCCAAGATACACGAGCCCCCGTCATGTTCGGTGTGGAATGCGCGGGAATTCAGGGAAATACTGAATCGCGAGAATTACGGCCAGTAGTTTTAGCATCTCCGGATCAAGCACTTTATTACATTTGCGAATTGTTAATTGCGAAACTAAAAACTGCTCAACCCTAGCCTAATTTTTTCAATTACAATTAAATGTAAGGTATTGCGTATTTAGAGTATATTTTACATAAATTGTAACTTACAGAAAGCAACTGGACAAGGAAAACAAAATAATATATGAGTTTTAAGTTTTGCAATTTTCAATCGACCGATCGAAGGTAGTTGAAGGTAGTGAAATCGGTTCTTAGGCCAAAAAGATCTGAGAAAGTACTCGAAGAACTTGACTGTTGAATTCATCAAACGCTAACATATACATTCAGCGCGAGACACAATATACTCTTTGATAAACTTGTTTATAAGGTGCACGCGCACGCACGCACACACACACTCGCGCGCGCGCTTCATCGTTTATCTCATTTCATTGTAATCGAAATATGGCCATTTCGTTTTAATTGTAGAAAAGTGTTGAGGACGAACGATATTAAACAAACAAAAAAAGGGCTTGGGGTGAGCTCTCGGTGATTAGTTTTTTTTTCTTATCCTTACTATTTCAAATTCTTATCCTTATTACTTCGATTAGTTTGTACATTTAGAGCCAGTGAGGAAGTAAAGAGACAAGAGCCAATTGTATTGAAGAATCACTAAGCGCTTACTAAGCTGTTTTTTCCTGCTAAACGTAAACATGTTTGTTTTGCCTTTCCGCTATCTCTTGGAGGGTTTCGATTCGTCCACTCAAACCGTTCGCGTGATTCGCGTCTTTCACAGAGACACGATAGCATACTGCATAAACGTGACCGGCTTTTTTTTCTGTCCGTTCTTCCGTGTTTAAATATTTCCGACTTTTCGTTACGTGTAGCGTTTCAACGTGCTGCCGCGCTTGGAGGACAACCAGTGTCCTTTGTTGTTTATCCCGCCGGTTCATGTGGATTCATGCGTGATGCGATCACGTCCTCTGTACGCCGAATGATAAACGAAAGGTTTTTTTTGCGCAGGATTCTTTAGTCTTCCGATACTACATCATATAGGACGGAATTTTGATTCCCTTACGGAATCCCTTGATTCTCTTGCGAGCAATTTGCGTGAAACGAGTAATGGCGCACTTTGCGAATACAAACGCCGAGCTGGATCATGATCGGTAAGAACGAAAAATAAATTTGCTTGAAATGGTACATTGCAGTCAAAAGAGACTTTTATCTTAAATATTTACATAAATAAGCCCCCTCTTATTCTTGTATAACCTGAGAAGTGTATATTAATGAATTGTGTGATATATATATTGGAGATAAAAATTTTTGTTTCAATATTCATTTTTGGTAGAGCATATTTTCCTTTCATTTAACTACCTATATATCCTCATGATAATTTACATAAATTTATACCTATGTGATTTCTTTTATATTTTATATTATTTGTAGGATGGACTATACGCTATACGTAAATAGTTTGGCGGTACATTTAGATAAAGTATGATCTATTAATCTCTATAGTTGTTTAATTATTAAAACGTTTTGTAATTCTTGTTAATATTGACTTTTTTTTTGTACAAATTATACATCATTAGTTAAATTTTATAAATCATTATACATATTTGCATTTAAAATTAAGGTTATATTTTATTGTTTAATAACGTGAATCATGATATTCTTTAAGTGGGCTATTGAAGACATCTTTATTCAGTATGGTAAAATTACGAAAATGTTCTTTCCTGATAACCCTCTTACCACGTGGTGCTTTATCTCATATGGATTTTTACATGAAGCTGAGCTTGCCATAGAAGAGCTTAATAATAAAAAACCGCTCAATCTGAAAGTGGAATTTGCAAACCCTCCTATGATAAAACAAAAATCAAATGTGAAAGGCAATTTTAAACAATCAGAGGTGATAAACGCTGCAGATTCACTACCCATTCCAGATGATATAAAACAGTAAGCATCATTGACATTAATAATTACTGAAATGTTAAAATAATTATGCAAAATTAAATCAATATTTACACATGTTTTATTTACTTTGGTTTTCTTATATAAATGAATTATAAAGGGTTATATAAATTTCAAAGGAAATATTTAATATTTAAAGCTATTTAATATCTATGTATTAATACGTAATACATTTGTATACAAATTTAATATCTATGTTTCAAGGATTCGAAATCTTTGATATTATGATTGATATTTTAATTTTTTATATAAATCAATCATATACATAGTCTGTCCTAAAAGTAATGAGATTATTTTTGGTGTTCCAATCAGAATTGTCGGAGAGTGGATCCATTGAATGGGGTTTTTGGTACGGGATGTCAGGTATACAGTCTGACCCTTTCCAACAGATATCGTCAATAAAGTGCGTTGTAATTTTTGTGTCTTGTCACGGGTGAAAATTTAGCAGTCTCGAGCAGCGATCAAATTCTGCGTGAAACTGAAAAATCTGGTTCCGAAGCATTAAAGATGTTGAGAATAGCTTATGGGAATGCTACTTTGTCTTCAGAATTTGATCGTAACGTTGCTCAAAATACAGCACAGTCTGTGCTGAATTTCCGTGACAAGATACAAAAATTACAACACATTTTACTGACGGTATTGATTGCTAGAAAGGCTCAGAGGCAACTGAGAAGGGTCAGATTGTATACCTAACATACTGTACCAAAGGTCCTGTCTAATGGATCCACTCCTACAATTCTGATTAAACCCCCAAAAAATAGTCTCATTACTTTTGGAACAGACCATATACATAACAGAAAAAATATTTGTTTACATATGTAAATATATAATATATATTATTATAACATATATATTTAATTTTAGTCAGAATATGGGTCATTCGTCATACAAACATGTAATGCCACAAATAGTAGTACCACATAGTGTAGACCATGGATTATCTTCACCTTCATGTTCACATACAGCTAGTGATATTGATAAATCTTATAGCAATACCAATCAATTATATTGGACAAGGTAAAAGAAATACAATTGTTTAAATTTAACAATTTGTTCAAATTTATAATTATATCGATTTTAAGACTGTTGCGACTCTTCTCATCCACGATTGCTCTAAATTATAATTATATATAATTTATAATTATAATTATGATGATGAAAAATAAATTACAATTTTTTTTTAACATAAAAGTGATTATCTAGGAAACTACTTGTTTCCGGACTTACGTTTATATAACT